TTTCTTTGGGTTGTCCCATAGCTGCTCCCAGAACTGCACTGTTTCTTCTTTGATGTCTCTGCTTTTTAATATGCTATCTAGGTTTGCCATAGCTTTCCTCCCAAGGAGCAAGCGTCTTTTAATTTCATGGCTGCAGTCTCCGTCTGCGGTGATCTTGGAGCCCAAATAAATGAATAAAGCAATTACTATGTAGTTTTCTTGGCACCAATAGAAAAATGGTTTGTTGTTGCCTTCTTCCAAGATGTTTCCTTGACTTCCTAGTCCAGCCTACCAAGATCAGTCAAGGTTACCTAGGTACTGCCATCCAGCTGGGCAAAAAGATATACAATATCAGCAAGTGCAGCTCCTCTTCATTCTGAAAGACAAACTGCTGATGCCACCCATAACTCCCAGTTCCTAATAATTAATGTAGGGTGATACACTGAGATCTCCATGAGAGTGTCTCAGAGGAATGTTTTCAAAGATCCTCTTTTTTTTAGGATATAGAAATCTGCCTTCAGAAATGGTGATTTGACTTTAGAAGCTTTATTTGTGTGTCTATGGATAAACATATAGCTATGGTAGACCTGAGATGCTAAAAAGAATACAAAGGGAGCATGCTGGGAGAGAAAAGGGCTCCATAGGATCCAAAGTCCTCTGTTCCTCTGACATGGTTCTGGAACAACAGAAAGCTATGCCAGACCTAGTAATGGAATCATTTTTTATTTTTATTTTTGGCATTTGAATCAATGAGAGGGAACCTGTTTATAACAAAATAAACTTCTGAATCAGGGAAGATGTAATAAAAATAAAACCTGCTACCTTACTGGAGAGTTCTCTCACCCTGGATTCTCCATCTCCCACTCCAAAGGACTTCTCTGCTCATTAGTAAGTGTTACCTTAAACTTCTGGTTAAAGGTGCCCTTGACAGCTTCACTTGAATAGTAGCTGATCTAAACTCCTTTCTCTAGGGATACATAATTAAAGTCCCAATATTCCTGTTTATAGAGCTGGCTGCACAATATTATTCATAATTCTGTTCAAAAACTTCATATATTTGGCTAATGCTTTTACTCCCCCCCCCCATTTGTTACTTTTCCTAAGGAAGTTATCAGAGAATTGACACAAAATGCCTCTTTTGTTAGGGCCAACTACAGAAATCATTCTTGTGAGTGCCCTTTCCTATTTATTTATTTATTTCCTATACTAATTTTACTTTGTAAAAACTATACAAAGAAAGTGCTGCTTCACTAACAACAACAAAAACTGGAATAAAATATACAGAGATTCCACTAAATCATACCAATCTATATTATCATTTACTTCTATAATGGTGTATTCATCCAATTTAGTGTATTTATCCAATTTAAAAGTAATATTAAGGGTTAACTAAACAATTAAACAATTTCAAGTGCCTACTTTGTTGCAATATATACTCATATTCAGATTCAATAGTGGTATAATATCTAATCCATAAATAATAAAGGAGAGACAACATGCTTACTATACTTTAAAAAAAAAAAGTAGAAACAAAATTGATCCTGTCCAGTGAGGTAGTTTTGGATTAGGTCAACCCTTCAATATTTTCAAGACAAATTTTTAAAAGGAAGAAGGGAAAAGAAACAGCCATCAATAATTACTGTATTTTCTTATTTTTCTGTTTTAATTTATTATTTAATTCATTTGTATGGTGCCTAGTACATCTCAAAATGGTATACAAAGCATTTAACTGAAAAAAAAATCTATAAAGTGGGAAAAGAGGGAAAGAAAGCATTTATACAAAATTCGGACAGGGAAGGCCTGGGTAAAAGGATAGGCCTTTAGCAGTCACTTAAGACACATTATAGTGAGCACCTTCCGCATACTAAGCAGATTTCCAAAGAAATTCTACTGAAAAAAGGGCCACTGTGCATTATTTTCAGATGACTGTCTAAGACATGGGGATCAACCTCAGATCACAAGGACTGCACAAGGACTAGTTCATTAACCCAGGGGCCACAACGCTAAATTATCATTTACTTTTAATAATCACATTTACTTTTAATAATCACATTTACATCTATAGTCTAAGAAGTTCCTTATGGTGAAGAATTGTAACTTCCAGCAGCTCCAACCAGTCTGGCCAAGGGTGGGGGGTGCTGGCTATGGTAGCTCAGCACCACCAGAAAGGCTGTAGGCTATCAGCTGCAGACAGACCCCCAAAGGGAAACTTCGGTTTCCAAGAAAGGCACATTTATTTCCCCTCTCCCCACTGTCTTGTAACAGGAACAAGCAGATTATTTCTACCCATCACCAGTCCTTTTGCTTCCTTAACCTCAATTTTGGCCTCAAATAGGTTCTTTCCAGTTCTTGCACTGCAGAAACAACCTGCCCATCTGACCAGCTCCTTTCATCAACTCCAACCTACATTGAGGTACCTTTCACCAGGACAAATCCACTGGTCCCAGTCCACCCCTTCCATAATCCAGCCATTGGGAAGGTTGCTTGAGATGTTGCCGCAAATTTCCTCTTCTTTTTTCCTTTCTCTGGGGGAGGGGGGCACTTTTTCATAGGATGGCTTTTTTCCTGTAAGGCTCAAGTGTGAAATGGGTAAAGGAAGGGGACCAAAGTATGATGCTTTTTGCTCTTCCTCCCAGCTGTTCTTTGCCAAGGTGTAGGTGGAAGAGAACCTGGAGAGGCATTCAGCCAAAGTGACCCATATCTGCCATGCATGAAAACGTACTGCTGCCAACCCAACACAGAGGATTCATTGTGATTTCACCTCTTTCTTCCACTTGTGACTGAGTAGGGAAGTGCCTGCCACTGCCATTGCTTCTGGCTTTCTCAACAGTAAAGCTACTGACAGTACCTGCAGCTTCACATCAGAAGGGAGCAGAATATGATGGCGGTGGTGACCACCTTCTCCTCTCTCTCCAACCTCTGCTAGCCAGACTTTCTCTAGTCTGGTGGCTGAATACAGAAGCAGAACCCCCCAGCTGATGATGCTGGGCAGCCTGGCTCACCTTTCAAAAGCTTCCCGCACCTGCCAGAGACTTGTTCTAGAAGAGCTGAGGGAATGCAAACCCAGGGAGAAGAAAGGGGTAGTCTACCTATCTGACCAACCCCTTCTACCCCCCCCCCCCAAAATCTTCAAATCACTGGAGCAAGCAATCAGCAAACTAAGGCTCTGTGGGCCACAGAAAGTGAGCTGAAGAGCCACCTACAGCCTGCAAGTTTAAACCCCTGGTCTAAGACCAGGTACACAAATCAGGCATGTAAAAACAAAACAAAACAGGCCTGGAATAGCAATCTATTAGATATCCTTACATGCCAAAAACAAAACCTTGAGCTTGACTAAGTGGCTAATAGTCAAGAAGTATAGTTGCTTCAGTACAGGTTAGTGTGTTCACACCAGATACAGCAAACAGACCTCCACATTCTGCACAAGCTATATTTAGCCCCACATACAACCAATTACAGTTAGTAAAATGAATGTCAATTATAGTAACCAGATCCAAGATTCAGACTCTTAATGTAAGGAAAACTTACACTAGAATTTAAGAATTCAAATGATAAGCAATATGTTCTGAAATTACTTTAACAAAATGTTTTAGAACAAGAGACATTTTACTGCTAATATGTGCTTTTCCCCCTATTGTTGCATATCTGATCTGATAACAATTTTTCTGTTTCAACAAAACAAACTCAAGGATTTGCCAAGTTTTGTTCTTGAATCCATCTTATAAAAACTGACTTTTTTTTTAAGCAATAATTCCCAGTTGCCACAACATCTACCATAGAATGACTGAAAAACATCCAGGTGGATTTATCTAACAACTAATCAGCAATTACAATGCATGTAAAAAAAAAGAAGGAAAAAAACCCAGAAAAGAACAAAAATACTCTGCAATTACTGAGACTCCTATGAATATGCTTGGCAGGGGCAAGTTCTCTTTTACCCATAGAACGCCGACAGAGAGCCAAGAAGCAAAGTTTGGATTTCTCCTAAGTACTGAAACATTCTTTAGACTTAGGTACATTACCATACATCATGGGTAACACATATATAATTTGTCACATACATTTTTCATTTGTATTCTATTTGATTTAAACCTGAGTTATCAAGCATGAATTAGACTTGACATCCCTTAATTCCATTTTTTAAAAAAGGATATTATTGTTTAGTTTAAAATGTATTAACAAGTGTCCAGGGAGCACTTTAATTAGTGTTTCCCAATAGGCCACACTGCCATACCTATTTTTTCAATTATCTGCTTTGCTTGTTACTTTAATTGTACCAACCCCATGGTGTATGTGTGTGTGTATGTGCATGTATGAGAGAGAGAAAGAGAGAGGAGGAGGAAGAGGAGGAGGAGAGTTCTTCAGCTTCCTTCTAAAAGCTGTTAAATCTGAAATAGGCCACTGTGACCAGCCTTAGCCCCACATTTTTGCTTTGTCCCCACATATATTAGCAGGGAGGGATATCTGTCAGTAGAGTTGAGAAATTGTACTAACTTCTGTTCCATCACAACCATGGTTCATGCTCCCAGACAGTAAGTTTCAGTGGTGTACAATAACTTCTCCAGCTCTAGTTTTTGGTTGTCACTTTGGTTCACTGGGTTTGTCCCTTGTGGAGAGCTGTTTCCACTATTTGTTCTTGTTTTATTAGCCCAACGAAGGTTAAATTACCCCAATAAAGGTTAAATTGGCCCAATAAAGGTCAAATCCTAATCCTCCCTTATAGTGTCACTACTTATTGCTTCATTCTTCTTGTACTTTTTCCTCCTCAAGCACTGGTATAAGCTTGCACTTGCTACAAATATAAGCCATTTTCAGGAAGGAACACAAACTTGCCAGAAGCTCTGCATGTCAATACTGCTAAATCACATCCATTCACTATGGCTTATAAGGGCCTCTCCTATTAAAAAAAATTATGTCTTTTTGTTTCCTTCTCAGGTTGACAAGTACACACCATTGACTTAGAAAGAAACTTCTGCTTATTAAGTAAACTCACTCCCTGGAAACAAGCTGCCTTATATTCCTTCTGCGGTATCTACTGGGGCCTCTGCCTATTCAGCAGCAAGCAATTGTCCACAATGAGCAATCAGGAACTTTAAGGATGGCTCCCCTGCAAATCACTAGCTATTGAGAAGATAACTTTTTTACTCCCACAGTTGAGCATACAGTCCCTCAGAATATGCAGCTTCTTGGGTCCCTTTTATGCTCTGTTTGTCTCTTCATCCTATTGAATTCTTCTGTCAAGTTCCTGTTAGTCCTCCTCCTCCTCCCTTCATTTGCTCACTGATAATTTTATGCAAAAAGAATCTACATCACAAGTAGGTAACTTGTATTAAAGTATCTGATGCTTTCTTAATTCTCACTATACAATTTTACTTCAAATAAAAGAACCAGTTACTTAAAAAGAAACATACAGTATAACCAAGTGCACTTTTCTTTGTATTGTCGAAGGCTTTCACGGCCGGCATACGATGGCTGGTGTGGGTCTACCGGGCTGAGTGGTTGTGTTCTGGAGGTTTTGTTTCCTAAC